GCCTGGCTAAAGGGCTTTATTTTCAAAAAATCATTTTTATGGGTTAGATTTTTTTTCCTTCTGATGTTAGAAATTCTCCATACACATGAGAAAAGTTTTAAACTCTACAACAGAAACTTCCCACTTCAGTGTCTTTGCATGAGGACGTCTGCGTGGCCCTGCATGGTCCTAGACTGGGATTAGCGTGCTTGCCTTGCATGCGTGAAGCCCTGGATTCGATTCCTCAGTACCACAGACACAGAAAAAGCCAGAAGTGGCACTGTGGCTCAAGTGGTAGAGTGCTAGCCTTGAGCAAAAGAAGATCTGGGACAATGCTCAGGCTTCTTAGTTCAAGCCTCAGGACTGACCCCCCGCCTTCCCCCCCAAAAAAAATAAGTCTCATGGATTTTCAACCCAGGTTGACTTTGTACTGTGATCCTCAGATCTCAGCCTCCTTAGTTTCTAGGATTACAGCTGTGAACCAGCAGTGCCAGCCTTTTTGTTCTTTTTTCAACAATTTTTGAGAGTTCTTTTCTGCTTGTCTAAATTTATGTTGTATTATTGACACAAATATGTATTATTCCTTGTTCCTCTTCTAGCTTACCCAAAGCAGTCAAAAGGAGAATCAATGCTTTGAAACAGCTGCAGGTGAGGTGCGCACACATAGAAGCCAAGTTCTATGAGGAAGTCCATGACCTCGAGCGGAAGTATGCTGCACTCTACCAGCCTCTGTTTGACAAGGTGGGATACTAAGCCAGAAGTGGTGCTGTGGCTCAAGTGGTAGAGCGCTAGCCTTGAGCTGAAGAGCTAAGGGACAGCGCTCAGGCCCAGAGTTCAGGCCCCACGACCGGACCCAAAAAAACAAAACAAGACAAGGTGGGATACCGTCGAGTGCATTTAATACCACATTACCCAGGGACTTGTCGGAGACTGTGTGTGTGTGTGTGGTATGTGTGTGTGTTGCCTCTTGAGTTTCCAGGGACTTGTCGGAGACTGTTTGTGTGTGTGTGTGTGTGTGTGTTGCCTCTTGAGTTTCCAGATAACCTAAAATTCTAATGCAGTCTCACTTTGGTACAGAGAAGAGAATTCATCACTGGTGACGTGGAACCCACAGATGCAGAGTCAGAGTGGCACAGTGAGAATGAGGAGGAGGACAAGTTGGCTGTAAGTTTAAGTGTGACTTGTGTTACTTTAGAAATCAGCAACTAAATCATCAATAGAACTTTCCAGAGAGGAAGGTGGATGAGGGTGATTAGTCCAAGAACTTTATATGCATGTGTGAAAACACAACATTGTAATTGCTTTAGGAAAGAGAAAGTCTAGGGGAAAGGTGTGGATAATGGGTGTATATCTATAGTATGCAGGTATGGAGATGTCCAACAAAGCCCCCCCTTGTATAATTAGTATGCTAATAAAAAGATCTTAAAAACAAAACAATCCTCTGCAGCAATAAAGCACTTCTTGGCAGGTTGTCCCCTTGGTTTGGGGCAGTTGGATCTCTCACCAGAGAGATATGCTATCTTAGGCAGTGCTGTTGCTCACCATAACAAGCGAGGGGGAGCCATAGCCCCTCTCGTTGTCTCAAAATAGAGCTGGGTGAGCAAAGATCGATAGCACCCCAAATGAAGTTAGCCTGGATGGCAGCTGTATGCTGCCCTCAGTGACTGGGAGCTGGGGCCTATGGGCAGGTGGCATCTGGAGACCAGCTGCTTAGCCATGGCATGTCTGGAGATAGGTAAGCGAAGGAAGGGTCGGCATTGTGACTTGTTCTATTCACCTTTATTGGCCGTTCTGTTCCAGTGTATGGGAAGCCTCACCCTACCATAAGGTTAACTTTGTCCGTCTGGACATACTATTTTTCTTTTTCTTTTTTGCATTTTTCCCCCATTACTGGGGTTTGAACTCACCATAAACTTTTTTTGTTGTTTGTCATGGGGCCTGAACTCTGGGACTGGGTGCTGTCCCTCAGCTCTTCAGCTCAAGGCTAGCACTCTACCACTTGAGTCTGGCTTTTTCTTTGTATGTGGTGCTGAGGAATGGAACTCAGGGCCTCATGAATACAAGGCAAGCACTCTACCACAGAGCCACCTTCCCAGCCCTGAACTCATGAACTATTCCTTGCTAACCACAAACTCAGCCGTATGCATGCATGTGTATGCATGCACACACCATTATTGGGGCTTGAATTCAGGGCTTGGGTGCCATCCATTAGCTTTTCCACTCAAAAGAGTGGTGCTCCTTATCACTTGAGCCATACCTCCAGCTTTTTTTTGGGGGGGGGTCTGGTCGTGGGGCCTGAACTCTGGGCCTGGGTGCTGTCCCTCAGCTCTTCAGCTCAAGGCTAGCGCTCTACCACTTGAGCCACAGCGCCGCTTCCAGCTTTTTTTTTTTCTGCTTATGTGGTGCTGAGGAATCGAACCCAGGGCCCATGCATGCGAGGCAAGCACTCTACCACTGAGCCAACTTCCCAGCCCACCTCCAGCTTTTTGGTGGTTAATTGGAGATAACTTTCTCTTGGACTTTTCTGCCTGGGATGGCTTTGAACCATGATCTTCAGATCTCAACCTCCTGAGTAGGTAGAATCGTAGGCATGAGCATTGGCACTCGGCCTGAAGCAGTTTTTAATCCCACCACCTTCCCTCCTTACACACATTTTAACCCCAAAGTCATAGAGTTTTATGCTTAGTTCAAGTGGTTTTAATCATCTTTGAACTAGGCTTTTTGTCTTTGAGACAAAGCTTTGGTGTGTAGCCCCAGCTGGCCTAGTACTCAATCTTGCCTCTGCATTCTAAGTGCTGGAATTACAGATGAGCTCCTATATGTGTCAATCTTGAGACTGATACAGGGGCCTGGTTCTCATCAGGGACAGAAGGTTCACTAAGCCAGCAGCAGACAACTTTTCCCAAGGTTGCTGATGTTTGCAGTCTCAGTTGATTTTGGAGTTGGGTCTAAGTGCAGCCCAGAAGAACTATGTGAAGGCAACTGAGATGATTTTGGTCTGATAATTGACTAAAGGTACTGGTATTTTTGCAGTAGCTATTCTATCTTGCCATCTGTATTTTGTAGGGAGACATGAAAAGTAAAGTAGCCATAGCTGAAAAAGAAGAAGCAGCAGCAGAAGAGCCAAATCCCAAAGGAATTCCAGAGTTCTGGTTTACCATCTTCAGAAACGTGGACATGCTCAGTGAGCTCGTACAGGTGGGCAGCTTCTCCCTTGTCAGATTTCCAAAGTGACTGCCCTGTGCTTTCACTCACACACGCTTACCTGGATGCCCAGAGGTCTTTGGGAGTGAGTGGAAGGGTGCTTCTTAGGACAGGTGCTTGGGTGGCAGTCTTGACCCCAGAGAAGGGATCTTTGCTCTCCAGACCTTCTGCTCTTCTGCAGCTCTTGGAACAGGGCTGGCAATTCAGTCCGATCTGGTGTGAGTCAGTTCCCAATATGTCTGTGTTGGACCTCCTATAGATGTCTAGCGCTTCTCCTGCAGGCATCGGGCCCTACTACGGTGAGCAGCAAGGAGCCTAAGGACAGCCAGGGGTATCTGGTGCAGTGGGGGAGCACTCTGTGTGTGTACACATCTGCTTGCTTCTTAGTATGTTTTCAAGTGGGTTTGGTACAGTCTTGTTGTGCTAAGTATGTTGCGCAACACAAAGTATGTTGCTAATGTTTTTTGCCTTGAAAAGGTCTGTTTAGTTTTGTTTTCCTTTTTTTTAAGGAATGGATCAAATTAAGTTGTATGATACAGGAGAAATCCCGCCCTGAATCTCATTACCTGTCTTCCACAAAACAAAACCACTGTCCCTTTCAAACAGTTGAGCTGTGATTTACCTCCACAAGACTACAAATACATTTTTGTGATTTTCAGAAATTTGCCGTGCAGCATTTTCACTGCCTACTTGCTTTTCCATTCTAAGCCAAAACCTGAATGAAGGATGTAGGCAGGAGATGAGTATACAGCTCAGTGGTGGGGCATTTGCCTAATGTGCTGAAGGCCCTGGGCTTTGTACCCAGTATCACAAGTAGAAGAAAAAGTGATGAGAAGCACAGTGTGGTTCTTACTCCCTTCCAAACCAGGGAGGCAGCTAAAATAAATCTGCTTTCCTGATGAGAGAGTGAACTGTATCCTCTAATTGTATGTTACAGTTACTAGGGTGGCTTTTAGGGTAGTTACACAGCAAAACACCGAGACAGTGAGACTTCTTTGAGTTTTGTTTTTCCTTGTTGAGACTGTGTAGCCCAGGTTGGCCTCAAATTGACAGTCTTCCCTGTCTTGATCTAAGATGTGTACCAGCATGCCTGCTGTCACTGTTTTGTGTTGTTTTAGTTAGGGTTGTTTGGTTGTTTTGTTTGTTTGCTTGCTTGCTTGTTGTTTTCTGTGCTGGAGATGGAACTCAGACCTCACACGAAGTTTTCTATCAGTGAGCTACCCCGGCCCTCTGTGTTTTTGTTGGTGGTGGTGGTGGTCATGGGGCTTGAACTCTGGCCTTGGGCACTGTCCCTGAGCTCTTCAGCTCAAGGCTAGTGCTCTGCTACTTGAGCCACAGCTCCACTTCTGGTTTTCTGGTTTTTAATTGGAGATAAGAGTCTCATGGACTTCCCTGTATAGGCTGGTTTTGAACCATGGTCTTTAGATCTCAGCCTCCTGAGTAGCTAGGATTACAGGCATGATCAGCCACTGGTGCCCACCTCCCTCTATGTATTTTAAGAAGCTTCTCAGATGATTCTAATATGCTCCAAGGGCTGAAAAACCATTCAGGGGAACAGAGGATTCGCTATTGATCTTATAAGACTTGCTGTATGATGAGTGTGTGGGACTTGGTGTGCCCCTGGCCGGTGCCCACACTCCTAGTTGGGACCCGCTTTGAGTGGAGCAAGGAGTAGTGAAGCGGGGCTTCAGCAGTGGCTTGCTCCTGGTGCCACTCTGTACCCGGGCTGCCTGCCTGCTCTGGCAGCACAGGCTCGAGGCAGCTGCTTGTGCATCCATTGCCTTGGCTTTGGAGAGTTGCTGTGTTTTACTGGGGTGGCTTTTTCATTTTTCTCATGCCGCCATGTTAGTGCTTCAGGATTTAAGCCACAAAGCATGTCTACTCCCAGTTTGAGCTAGGTATCTCTAGAACAAAACATAAAAAAGCTTAAAGTTGGAAGGTGACAGTTACCAGACCAGTTCTTTGTAGAACCTTAAGAAATTCTCCAGTCTAGTGCTAGACTTTAGGGTTAAGAAGTAACTCAGTTATCCAGGCACTAGTTGCTCACACCTGTAATCCTAGCTGCTCAGGAGGCTGAGACAGGAGGATTGTGGTTCAAAGCCAGCCCCAGGCAGGAGGTCTGTGAGACTTATCTCCAATCAATGACTCAGAAAAAGCTGGAAGTAGTGCTGTGGCTCCAGTGGTAGAGTGCTAGCCTTGAGCAAAAAAAGCTCAGTGACAGTGTCCTGGCCCAGAGTTCAAGCCCCAGGACTGGGAAAACAAAAGTAACTCCATGTTGCAAATGAAGCACCTGTCCGCTAGCACATCATAATGAGAATTTGGGTTTCTTTCCTCTTCTGCTTTTTTTTGGGGGGTGGGGGGTGGGTAGGGAGGTCGGGACGTGGGGCCTGAACTATGGGCCTGGGCGCTGTCCCTCAGCTCTTCAGCTCAAGGCTAGAGCTCTACCACTTGAGCCACCGCGCCACTTCTGGCTTTTTTCTTTTTGCTTATTTGGTGCTGGGGAATTGAACCCAGGGCCTCATGCATGCAAGGCAAGCGCTCTACCACTGAGCCACCTTCCCAGCCCCATCTCTTCTGCTTTTTCTTTTTCTTTTTTTTTGTCAGTCCGGGGGCTTGAACTCAGGGCCTGGCCCTGTCTGAGCTTCTTTTGCTCAGGGCTAGAGCGCTACCACTTGAGCCACAGTGCCACTTCTAGCTTTTTCTGTATATATGGTACCAAGGACTTGAACCCAGGGCTTTGTGCATGCTAGGCAAGCACTCTTCCACTAGACCACATTCCCAGCCCTCTCCTGCTTTTTCTTACTGGACTCTAAAATTACAGATACTGCCAGACGCTGGTGCCTCACGCCTATAATCCTAGCTATTCAGGAGGCTGCTCTGTTTAAGCCAGCCTAGGCAGAAAATTCCCATTGAGACTCTTACCTCCAATTAACCACTCAAAAGCTGGAAGTGGTGCTGTGGCTCAAGTGGTAGAGCATTAGCCTTGAGCACAAAGAGGCTTAAGGACAGAGCCCCTGCCCTGAGTTTATGCCCCACAACTAATAAAAAGAATAAAATTAGAGGTTCTGACAAACAGTAGATTGGAATAAGGACAGTTATAAGCATACAGTTACATATGAGCTGTAATCTCCTTTAGGCTGCACGCTTGCTGTATGTTCTTGTGGAATGACTATATACTGTGGAATCAAGATATTGATTGCCACAGCAAGGGACACTGGCTATCATGGCTGGCAATTGATTTACTCATCTTTTCTGATTTCTGGCATTCTTCTCTGTTTCCTTGGGTGCAGAAGGCCAGATATGTTGTCTTGGTTGGTGGCAGGTGATGGCAGTGGAGGCAGGTATTGATGTTTACCACTGTGCTAGGCAGAAACAGATGACACATGGATTTGATATATTATTTCTGCCACCCAAAGACCACATGGTTAGTAGACGTCTGAGTTGCTGAAATTATTCCTTGGCAAAGGGCAAGAATGCATGCGAACATAGCAACTGTGATCTTTTTAAAACCCTGGGTTTTTTTTTTTCTTTTTGATTAGGAATATGATGAACCAATCTTGAAACACCTGCAAGATATTAAAGTAAAATTTTCGGCCCCTGGACAGCCCATGGTGAGTACTATCATGCTTGTTGGCTAGCGGACTGGAGCTGAGGGCAGAAAACCCTGTTCTTGGCACTCAGTGCTAGGTGGCTCGAAGCAGTACTCAGCACTGTGCTTGGGAGCCTAGACAGTTAGCCATGTAGACATGCTGTGGACATGTGGCACAGGGCCTGGGTTCAGCCTGAGCTGTGGTGGTGCCTTTGTGTGTCATCATCAGATGGTGGTAATGCTGTACATTTCCTAGGTATCTCACAGGTTTACACATAGTGGATGGAAATGTTCAGTTTTAAAGACATGGGAGATTGCCACATGTGGTGCTGAGTGCCTGGAATCTCAGCTACTTGGGAGGCTGAAGTGGGATGATGACGAGCACATGAGGTCAAGACTAGCCTGGGTATGCATCATAGGAGGCCCCATCTCAGAGCTAGGGTGAAAGAGTGGGAGGTATGTACACAAATACGAGCATTGCTTTCATTCAGGACGCTGAGGAAAGAAATCTACCCAGCTGTAGTAGTTAAAAATAACTGTAGGAAAGATTGGAAATGTCTTTCCACCCCTTAGTTTGCATGAGTGAGTAGGCCTGCCTGTCACTTGGGGAGATAAGCCTTACCTTACCCAGGCCTAAGCCTGGCCCTTTTCAGGAGCACTGTTCGTAACCTGTCAGCCTGGCTGGCTGTGGTTGGTGGGTTCCATTCCAGTGCTACAGCATTTCCAGTGACACATGACTGATTGTCTGACTGGTGGCTGTCAGTTTCAGGTCTTGGGGACATGTCCAGAGGGGCTGGGAGGTAGAGATGTTGGGGCTGAGAGTCGCAGATCTTTACCTCCCTCCATGTCTCAGAGCCCCAGGTTCATAGTTAGTGGACGGAGTCCAGTGTGGAGCTTTGTTATCTCAAATCCTGGAGGGAGGGGAATAGCAGTGGCTCATCTTCAAGATTCTCTGTGGTTTTGGCTTTCACTTCTTTCTACTTTGAATTTTAGTTTTGAACTAGCAGACATTTGTTGTATGCAGAGGGAGTGTTCATTGTGATCTGCACTTTTTACATTTGATCCATTTTCCCTTGTGTCTTCCATTTTTTCCCCTTGTTTATTTTCATTCATTTTAAAATTTGCTTTTACTGTTTTTACTGCATACTTGTTTCATGATTTCCTGGGGCCATTTGTCTTCCCCTTTCAACCACTGTTGTCTTCTGCTCACACCTTGTAGACCAAAACCTAGTTCCTTCCTCTTTCCCCTTATAAAAGCCACCTGCTTTTCTATGCACAAGCCTGTAATCCTAGCTAATTGTAAGGCTGATTTGAAGATAAGGATATGAAACTAGCCCAGGCAGAAAAGTTCAGTAGACTCTTACTTCCTTAACTAGCAAAAGGCAGAACTGTAGGTATGGCTCAGCTGTAGAGAATCAGCCATTAATGAGAAAAGCCAAAGGATAGCACTCTAGTCATGAGTTCTAGCACTGGAGCACGCAGCAGACATCCTCTGGGGACGTCTCTTGACCAGAAACTACCTGCCAGCACACACAGCATGATCACAAAGTTCTATCACACAAGTTTTTTGTTTTGTGCTAGTCCTGGGGCTTGAACTCGCTGAGCACTGTCCCTGGCCTTTGGTACTCAAGGCTAGTACTCTACCATTTACTCCACAGCTCTACTTTAGAGTCTCATTGACTTTCTTGCCCTGGCTGGCTTCAAATTTCGATCCTCAAATGTTGGCCTTCTGAGTAACTAGGATTACAGGTGTGAGCCACCAGCACTTGGCTTCATTGTACAAGTTTAAGTTGTGTCCCTGGCCATAGTTTCCATATGTGCTACCAACTTGTGGCTATTCTAATGATGGCATCATAATGGGCATACTGGGGTGTAGTCAATGCCTGCATTGTGCTTAATTTCCTAGTTCAGCTTCTTGGACGTGTATCTGTACAAGGCCCCAGCTGGCAGTATTATGTTCTAGCCAGCAGTACTTTTCCACACTTCTTTATACTAGTAAATTTTTTGACCTTGTAGTTTGAAATAATTCCAAATCTAGAGCAGAATTGTAGCAACTAAGACCACTTCCACATTCCCCCTGCTCTTCTGTCCGCTCTTAACCATGGGTTGTATATGTGAGAGTTATTCTTAGCATGAGCATTGGCAACAGTGACAACTGCATTAAAAAATCTTCACAGTTGAGTGTGTACTGGACTAGCATGTGTGTGTACGTGTGTCCTACTTACACAAGGCAACCTTACCTTATCTCTGCTTGGCAGTGAAGTAATCCTCTCTCTCTTTCTCTTTCTTTTTCTTTCTCTCTCTTTCTCTCTTTCAGTCTGTCTGTCTGTCTATTGTGGAACTTGAACTCAGGGCCTGGGTGCTATACCTGAGTTTTTTGCTCAAGACTAGAGCTCTGCCACTTTGAGCCACAGCTCTACTTCTGGTTTTCTGGTGGTTAATTGGAGATAAGTGTCTCATGGACTTTCCTGCCAAGGCTGGCTTTGAGCCATGATCCCCAGCTCTCAGTTTCCTGAGTAGCTAGGATTGCAGGTGTGGGCCATTGGTGTCTGGCTGTCTTCAGGTTTTTGAGATTACCTTTTTTTTTTCTTCAGTGGTAATGGTTTCTGGTGTTTGTATTCAGGGACTCAGTGCTTGTTAGGCATGTATTCTACTACTTGGACCATACCTCTAACCCTGAATATTCACAAATAACCCTTACTCCCCAGTAACTGGGGATTTGCAATACACAGGAGGCATGGAGTGAGTACTTGGAGTAGACATGGTAAATGGGGTTTGTTTGTTTATTGGCAGTGGTGGTTTTTTGTTTTTTTTTTTTGTCGGTCGTGGGCTTGAACTCTGGGCCTGGGCGCTGTCCTTCAGCTCTTCAGCTCAAGGCGAATGCTCTATCACTTGAGCTACAGCGCCACTTCCGGTTTTCTGGTGGTTTATTGGAGATAGGAGTCTCACGGTCTCTCCTGCCCTGGCTGGCTTTGAACCGCGATCCTCAGATCTCAGCCTCCTGAGTAGCTAGGATTACAGGCGTGAGCCACCAGCGCCCGGCTGGCAGTGGTGGGGTTTGATGACAGGCTGGTACTCTATTACTTGAACCACACTCCCAGCTTATTTTAGATTACTTTTATGAAACAAAGTCAGAGTGGATGAAGATAGGAAAACCTGAGGAATGTAGGAAAAGGAAGGCTGTGGATGTGGCCCAAGTAGAACACCTGCCTGGAAATGCAAGGCCCAAATTTAGACTCAGAACCATCTAGAAAGGGAGGTAGGAAAAGGAGAAAATAACCCTACCTATACCTGCACCAAAGCTGAGAGCAGTGAAGGACCAAGAGTTGTCATGCATTTGGTGCCTTGTCCTCACGCAGGTCTCTGCAGCTGCTTGCTGGGGTCCAGCAGTTGCTGGCAGACTCGGTCCAACCGAAGCCTGCATCCTCACCTTCCTTCCCAGAGTTTTTTTCTTTCTCTTCTGTGGAAGTGGTTTGTTTAGCTAGTCACATAGTTAGTCTTGTAATTTCCCTTCGGTTGATGGTTTGTTTCTAGTGGATGGGCTCTCCAGGCCTCATCCTTCACAAACCGTCATTCTTGCAGTGTTCATATGAGGAGAGCCTAAAGCACAAAGTACTCAGAAGCTCGCAGAGACCCAGCAGCGTGGGCACCAGCAGGGGCAATCAAGTCCAGTCAGTTTTGTGAACCCTCTTTCTAAATGACTTAACCAAGCTCATTTTCAATTTTTTCCTTACAAATAGGGCTAAGGAAGAATCTGCACATTAATGCATGCATCCCCATAGTTTGCTTAGTTTCCTCAGATAAAACAGATTCTTCAAAATGGAATTAACTTGTAATCTTGCTAACTTTGTATATTACCACTTGGCCCTTTATAAATCTGGTTATCACCTGAGAGAATTCTCCGTATCCCAGTGGGCTGACTAGCTCTACACAGTACTTTTATACCTTATGGTGTAACTTGAGAGTTGAGTGGTGGGTTTTTGTTGTTGAAGTAGGGGCAGTTTTGGGGTACTGGTACTAGGGTTTGAACTCAGGGCCTGGGTGCGCTCTCTCAGCATTTTTGCTCAAAGCTAGTGTTGTCTCTATCACTTGAGTCACAACTGTACTTCCAGCTTTTTGATGATTAATTGGAGAGAAGAGTCTCATGGATTTTCCTGCCTGAGCTGGCTTTGAACCTCAGATCAATCCTCAGATCTCAAGCTTCCTGAGTAGCTAGGATTACAGCTGTGAGCCACTAGTGCTTAGCGTTAGGTATTAGGATTTTTTGTTTGGTTTTGTTTTGCTGGTCCTGGGGCTTGAACTCTGGGCCTGGGCACCATCCCTGTGCACGTTTTGCTCAAGGCTAACACTCTTATCACTTGAACCACAGCACCATTTTTGTTTTTTTCTGTCATTAATTGGATAGGAGTTTCACAGACTTCCCTGTCTGTACTGACTTTGAACCCTGATCCTCAAATTTCAGCCTTCTGAGTAGCTAGCTAGATTACAGGCATGAGCCACCAGTGCCTAGCTTCCCACCCCCCACCCCGTTCTGTCAGATCTGTGCACATTCTTTGTTTCTTCTTGTACCTGCTCTTGCTCAGATTTGAATGGTGCTCTGGAAGTACTCTGTAGGGAGGATGGAAGGAAAGAAGGAACGAACCTCTCATTTCTCTTGTACCCTCCTCCGGAGGCTTCCCTAGGCTTTGCCAGTAGGGTGGAGGATGGAGCTGAGAGGGAAAGCAGGCTCAGCTGTGGGTGGTGATTTCCAGCAAAACCAGTGGAATCTGTTGCTAGTTATTTTTAGACTTTAAGTGGCACTGTTCTCTCTGCTCTAGTCTTTTGTGTTAGAGTTCCACTTTGAGCCCAATGACTACTTTACCAATCCTGTTCTGACAAAAACATACAAGATGAAGTCAGAGCCAGACAAGGCCGATCCCTTCTCCTTTGAAGGTCCTGAAATCGTGGACTGTGACGGGTAAGAAAATGTCTTTTTGTCTTTCTGAAACAGAAAGCAGGAGATAATATTGGAATTTAAGATGGAAAGATACAACTCGGTGGGATGGGTTCGATCCTGTCATCCCTTACTTGCAGGTTGAAAATCAAAATAAAGCAATAATAATGTAAGCAAGACTTGAACTACTTAAGGGTCTAGCAGGATTTAAATGCAGTCCTGGAGTAAGTTGCAAGCAGGTAGTGTGTAGCTAGGGTGTCTGCACCTGGGAAGATGCAAATCAGTTCAGACAGGTTTAGAACAGTATTGGGTTTCTGTTGAGGGGGGGCAGGGATTGGGGTTTAGACATTGTAAATTGAAGCTCCTCCAAGTACGTATTTGCTGAACAGACAGTGCAGTTCAGTCCCAGTCAGGAGTATGATCAGATGGTGGCTTTGGAAATTGGTAATATCTTTGCATTTTGATCCATGTTGATTTCATTCCCCACAGACCACTAAAGGAGGGGATTTAGCTTAGAATCAATTCCTATTGGATGGTTTTGACTAGAGGAAATTGTTTATATTTGAATTAAAATACTTGCTCTTATTCACTGAAAATAATCTCCCTGAATAAGTAGTTTAGAGCTTTATTAAAGTCCCACTCAACTTGAATGGCTAAAGTAACTGGGTGAATGTACATGTGTATGTGCTTACAACACTTGGGCCTCATACTTGATAGACAAGCACTCTGCCACTTGAGCCTCTCCTCCCAGCCATTTTTGCTTTGTCATTGATTTTCCAGACAGGATTTTAATGTTTTGCCTGGCTGGCCTTGGAGCACCATCCCCTCCTGTCTATGCTTTGTGTCTACTGCCACACCTGGCTTGTTGGTTGAGATGGGGTAACTTTTTTGCCTAGGGTAACCTTGAACTGTAATCCTCCTCCCCACCTCTGCCTTCTAAGTAGCTAGGATTATAGACTTGAACCTTTTCCCAGCCTCATTGTGTTGTATTTGTTTGTCTTGTCAGGATTGGGGTTTGAACTCAGGGCCTCATGCTTGCTAGATAAGCATTATACCACTTGAGCCATGTTCCCAGCCCTTGTTTTTGTTTTGGGTCTTTTTGGGGTTTGGGAAACATGGTCTCACTTTGTAGTCTAAATTGGTTTGGAACTCTGGCCTCCAAGTTAAAATTCTGCTTCTGGAGTGCCAGGATTACAGATGTGCATCACATGCCTATTTCCTTCAGATGTGTTGTTGAGCAGCATGTCAGCTGCACCAGGAGTACCTGTATGCAAGGTGATGGTGTGTCAGAAGCAGGTGTCCTGAGTGCCCTGGCAGGTCAGCAATGTTCACAGCAGCCTGGCTCACACAGTTGACCTCTGGGCATATAGGACATGTGAGTGGATGACTCTACTCTCCACTGTGCTGACTAAATGGTCCTTTTCACCTGTTTGAGAGTCCTTGAGCAGCTTGGGAGCATAATGCCCATTGTCATGAGGAAGTCTGAGGCTTATGCCAGTCGATGGTGGCTCACGCCTGTAATCCTAGCTACTCAGGAAACTGATCTGAGGATTACAGTTCAAAGCCAGCCTGGGCAGGAACATCTGTGAGACCATCTCCATCCAATTAACCACCATAAAACCAGAAGTGGAGCTGTAGCTCAAAGTGGTACTGCTTCAGTGTTGAGCAAAAAAGGCCTGAGTTCAAGCCCTACAACCAACAACAGAAAAAAAGCTTGAGACTTGAGGCAGATATGACAACCAGAGTGGGGGGAATACTGCCAGTTTCATTAGCCAGCCTTCAGATGAACTTCAGGGACTATGTAGTACTCAGATTAGCAATTGGTTATATCAGATTTTCCAGGTATATCATAGACCCTGTGGCTTGTTTCTTGTATGCATCATAGTTTTTTCCCTGGAGTGTACCCACAAAAGTTGTGTTGTTTCTGCAGGTGTACTATCGACTGGAAGAAAGGGAAAAATGTGACAGTAAAGACTATCAAGAAAAAGCAGAAGCATAAGGGCCGGGGTACCGTCAGAACTATTACTAAACAGGTGCCCAATGAGTCCTTCTTCAATTTCTTCAACCCATTGAAAGGTAAGCCAGAGGGCTGTGTCTTCTGTGCTCACATGAAATCACTTCATTGCCCTGATGTATGCCTTCCTGTCTCAGAGTTCCGTACTATGCTTCTCAGATGGAAATGACGGCTGCATCCTGGGTCTGGTTTTGGTGAATGGTTAGCTTTCTAGGCAAGGAGCTGGGACAGTAGGACTGTCAACGGGACAGCAAAGGTGTGGTCTTTACCTGTGTCTGAGCTGCTTTCTCCCTTTCCTTCCTGGAGCTAGTCAATTGTGCAGGTTCTCCATCACCTGTTAAATCTTTTTAGTCATCTTTTTTGTTTGTTTGTTTGGTGGGGAGGGCGGGGTGCAGGTGGTGGTTTGGTGCCTGTCTTAAGGCTTAAGCTTAGGGCCTGGGCACTGTCCCTGAGCTTCTTTGTTCAAGGCTAGCTGTCTACCACTTGAGTCATAGCTCCACTTCTAGCCTTAGAGATAAGAACCTCACAAACATTCCTGCTGGGCTAGCTTCAAACCTTGGTCTTCAGATCTCATCCTCCTGAGTAGCTAGGATTACAGGTGTGAGCCATTAGCACCTGGCTGAACATAGAACTTTCACCTAACACACTGCCCTCATGATACACTCCTTTGTGTTTTATTGTAGTGGTCACTACCTGCAATTTGACTTTGATCCTAAAAGATAGAAAATTGTGCTGGTTTGGGGAACAGAATTGTTTAGTGCTCTGATTTAGTGCTCAGATTCCCTGTTTGGGGAAAATTCCTATGGTACCTTTGCATTAGGCATATTGGCGGGTATGACATTTTCTTTAAACTGGTTTTATTTTTTATTTTTTTAATTGTTATGATAAAGGTGATGTACAGCAGAAAGGTTACTGTTACATAAGTCAGTTAAAGGGTACGTTTCTTTTAGGACAATATCACCCCTTCCCTCAAATTCCCAATGTTTCCCACCTATTTCCACCCACAAGTTGAATAATTTATTTTATTTATTTATTTATTTTTGTCATTTATGGGGCCTGAACTTAAGGCTAGCTCTCTACCACTTGAGCCACAGCACCACTTCCGGCTTTTTTCTTTTTGCTTATGTGGTGCTGAGGAATCGAACCCAGGGCCTCATGCATGCAAGGCAAGC